CGAACTCAGCATCAGTTTTTTGTTTTTCATTTCCACCTAACTTCACTACGAACCTAGATGAATTTAAAAATTACAAGTAACTTCCCACAAATTCTCATAAATTCTTGAACCAAAAAAATCATAAATTCTCGAAAATTTAAGGCCAAAGAATATGCTCGGTAAATTCTCTGTTCTCAATAGAAGTTCTGTGGAGAATATTCTCAGGGCCATCTCTGAAGGGCCATCTATTATGCTCTTGAAGGGCTCCTAAAACCTGAAAAAGTAATTTTTCAGAAGCTTTCAAAGATGATTTAAAGGAAATTTCTTTTATAATAAATAAAGTAAGTAGGTATATCAAATCTGAGCTCTGAGCATCAGAATCACTTTTGCTTTGGCTTATTTGTTGAAAAGATTTCAATCAATAAACCCTGAAAGTTTGAAACTTGTAGAATTTTTAGAGAAGGTTGATAAGGTAACTATTACAGGCTCTTGCAGGGCTTCTAAAACTTGAATAAGTAATATGTATTTAGAAGCTTTCAAAGATGATTTGACAGAAACTTCTTTTATAATAAATTAGGTAGGTATATCTGAGCCTCAAAATCACTTCTGGTTTGTATCATTTGATGAAAAGATTTCAATCAATAAACCCTGAAAGTTTGACAATTTGTAGAGTTTTTAGAGAAGGTTGATAGGGTAACTATTACAGGCTCTTGAAGGGCTTCTTAAACCTGAGAAAGAATTTTTTCAGAAGCTCTCAAAGATGATTTACCAGAAATTTCATTTATAATAAAGTATATTTGAACCTAAGAATCACCTCTGATTTGTCTTATTAGATGAAAGATTTCAATCAATAAACCCTTAAAATTTGAAATTTGTAGAATTTCTAGAGAAGGTTAATGAATAAGGTAACTATTAGGCTCTTGAAGGGCTCCTAAAACCTGAAAACGTAATTTTTCAGAAGCTTTCAAAGATGATTTAATGGAAATTTCTTTTATAATAAAGTATATCTGAGCTCTGAGTCTCAGAATCACTTCTGGTTTGGCTTATTTGATGAAAAGATTTCAATCAATAAACCTTGAAAGTTTGAAATTTGTAGAATTTCTAGAGAAGGTTAATAAGGTAACTATTACAGGCTCTTGCAGGGCTTCTAAAACCTGAAGAAGTAATTTTTCAGAAGCTTACAAAGATGATTTAACAGAAATTTCTTTATTAATCAAGTATATCTGAGCCGAGAGGCGGTTAACTGATCAAAATCCGTGTACAAGTTGGTCAAAATCCCAAAAAATCTTGTAAAATCTCCTTAAAATCCCTAAAAATCTTTAAAATCCTTAAAAATTTAACAAAATCCCACAAAATCCCTTAAAATCTCTCAAAATCCTACAAAATTTTATTAAAACTAAAAAAATTTTGGAAAATCTTAAAAAATCATTGAAATTCCTAAAAAATATTCTAGTGATTATGGAATAATTTATGAACGAACCGCCAAATTAGGTAGCCATTACAGCAGCTGCGTCAAGTTAGGCCCCCATAACCGAATTTAATAACTTTTTGGTAGAAATCAATTGTGCTAGAATTGAGCAGAATTGTGCTGCCAATAATAGGAATTGTGCTATTTTGGTAACTGAGTTATTTACAAAAAAGTAGGGGGGGGGCTAACTTGACGCTCAGCCTCCCCATTTTTTTGAATTCCGAATTTAAAAAAAATGTTTTCCTTGAGAATCGGAATTGTGCTGAATTGAGCTGCAAATATTTTCCCTCCTACTTCATTCCATCACGCCATTTTTTGTATAAACATTATGGCGGGGCTAACTTGACGCTCAGCCCCCCTTTTTTTTAAATTTTCATCAAAAAAAAAAAAAAGTGTTTTTCTTGAAAATCAGAATTGAGCTAAATTGTGCTGCACATATTTTTCCTCCTACTTTATTTCCAACATCCCATTTTTTATTTAAACATTACGGCGAGGCTAACCGTCAGGTCAGCCCCATTATTTTTTAAAATTTTCATTTAAGAAAAAGTGATTTTCTTGAGAATCGGAATTGTGCTGCACATACAGGGTGCCCCCGTTCAACTGGTTAAAAATGCTTGGGTATATGTATAGGGGAACCATAGAGAAGAAGTTTGAGATAGTACACCGATGGTCGGAAGTGCGTCGTTTCCAAAATACAGGGTGTAGAAATTTAAACAACCCCCTTTCATATCATCTGACTGAAGGGATAATGCTAGGCTGTTCAAATTTTCAGGGATTATTGATGTAGGAATGATATTTAAAAATTCGTTCAATGCACCTCCATTTTCTACCTGGAACCACCCCAAAGAAAAAAAATAAAATTTTAAAACAATTTGTATCAATTTTTATTTTTTTTTGGGTGGTTCCACCAGGTAGAAAATGGGGGTGCATTATATGAGTTCTTAAATATCATTCCTAAATCAATAATCCTTGAAAATTTGAACAGCTTAGCATTAGCCCTCCAGATAATATGAAAGGGGGTTGTTTAAATTTCAACACTCTGTATTTTGGAAACGACGCACTTCCGACAATTCGGATTCTCAAAGAAAACATTTTTTTTTTTAATTCGAAATTCAAAAAAATGGGAGGGCTCAGTGTCAAGTTAGCCCCCCTCTACTTTTTTGTAAATAACTCAGTTACCAAAATAGCACAATTCTTAATATTGGCAGCACAATTCAGCACAATTCTGGCATAATTGAAGTCTACCAAAAAAGTTATGAAATTCGGTTATGGAGGGGCTACCTTGACGCAGCTCATTACAGTCGGCAGTGATGCTATCAAATTTGTAACTTTGTTGGCAACACAAGCCTTTTGTACATAAAAAATTTGAAAGTATTGAAATTTTTACATTGTATTGCCAACATAATGTCATTTTGACTATTATCTTTAAAAAAACAGACTTTTACACTGGAGGAAAAACCACTATAAATCTTTAGTTTTAAACTACTTCTACTGTTAAAAAAGCTGTAAGCTGTAATATAAATATACACTGTATTATGTTTATTTTGAAGTTTATTTATCATCAAATCACAAAAGCATGTTGTTATTAGCTTAGATTAACCGACTAATTCAGCTTAATATATTCTAATAGCGATAGAAGATCTTTCAAAATCTCCAAAAATCCTTTAAAATCTACAAAAATCTTTCAAAATCCTCAAAAACCTGTTAAAATCTCCAAAAATCCGTTAAAATCTCCAAAAATCTGTTAAAATCTCCAAAAATCTTTTAAAATATCTAAAACCCCCTAAAATCTTAGAAATCTTCTGGGATTTCAAAAATCCTGTAAAATCATGTGAAGATTTTCAAAATCCTACAAAATCATTGAAGATTTGAAATCTGTGTACATATTCTAAGGAGTTAACCACCCCTCGATCTGAGCCTCAGAATCACTTCTGGTTTGGCTTATTTGATGAAAAGATTTTAACGAGGATTTTAATCAATAAACCCTGAAAGTTTGAAATTTGTAGAATTTCTAGAGAAGGTTAATAAGGTAACTATTACAGGCTCTTGCAGGGCTTCTAAAACCTGAAGAAGTAATTTTTAGAAGCTTTCAAAGATGATTCGACAGAAACTTCTTTTATAATAAATTGGGTATATCTGAGCCTCAGAATCACTTCTGGTTTGTCTTATTTGATGAAAAGATTTCAAATAATAAACCCTGAAAGTTTGAAACTTGTAGAATTCCTAGAGAAGGTTGATAAGGTAACTATTACAGGCTTTTGAACGGCTTCTTAAACTTGAAAAAGTAATTTTTAGAAGCTTTCAAAGATGATTCGACAGAAACTTCTTTTATAATAAATTGGGTATATCTGAGCCTCAGAATCACTTCTGGTTTGTCTTATTTGATGAAAAGATTTCAAATAATAAACCCTGAAAGTTTGAAACTTGTAGAATTCCTAGAGAGGTTGATAAGGTACCTAACTACTACAGGCTCTTGAAGGGCTTCTTAAACCTGAGAAAGTATTTTTTTCAGAAGCTCTCAATGATGATTTAACAGAAATTTCATTTATAATAACGTATATCTGAGCCTCAGAATCACTTCCGGTTTGGCTTATTTGATGAAAAGATTTTAATTAATAAGCCCTGAAAATTTGAAAATTGTAGGATTTCTAGAGGAGGTTAATAAGGTTACTATTACAGAAAAGTAATTTTTCAGAAGCTTTCCTAGATGATTTATCACTTATCAGACATTTCTTCTATAATAAAGTATCTGAGCCTCAGAATCACTTCTGGTTTGTCTCATTTGAAAAGATTTCAATTGATAAACCATGAAAGTTTGAAATTTGTAGAATTTCTAGAGAAGGTTAATAAAGTTACTGTAACTATTACCTAGGTTGTTTCAATGTACATATTACTATAAATATAAATGAGTACCTATACTTACCTACCTACTCAAAACAAAAAAGTTTTGGGTATGACCTTTTATAGCAGTGAAGTATGGCAAATTAAAGGATGAAGGATTTTCAAGGAATACAGGAATAGGAAACTAAAGACAGGCTTAGGAATGAATGCAACACATAGAAAATTATAGAATAAAGGAAATTATGGAAACTAAACAAAATATTGGAGGACATTAGGACTACGACTACAATAATAATTATTGGCAGGGTTCCTACATACACAAACTTTATTCCAATTAGAAATATAATCTGATAACAATTACAGAAACTCAAATAAAAGCTTACTACTATCTATTATAGTTTCTTCACCCGAGTGGACACCTACCTGGAATTTCAAAACACAAATACAGCATACTTTTAAATAAAATAAAATGCAAAAAGGTACCTACTAAATACAAAAAATTTTAGGAATTCCAATTTCCAATGAAAAAACCCTTTGACTGTTTGTACTCAGCTGTGGAATGCAGCTGATATTTTGAATATTTTTTTCAAAAAAAGCAAACAAAAACAGAAAAATGGCGTCCAGCCCATGGTTACAAAAGCAACCAGTAGAGGGCAACCAATATAGAAAAAATAGAATTTTTTTTCTGAGGGGGTACACAAAACACACAAACCTTAACGAGTTCGTCAGCGACTTGCTTGCAGTTTTTCTTCGTTAACGTTACAACTAAATATCCGATTTGTGACAAAGTAAGGGACAACGAATCAAGGTTCATAGTTCCATGAACGCGGCCTCGAAAGCTTCAAATCGCTTTGAAGCTTTCGTCGCGAAGCACTTGCACCTGAACAACCGAGTCTTAGCAGTTTGTTGTGGAGGATAACTGGATAACGAATGGCCCAAGACCATCATCGAGTCTTTTCACTATCACTTTTTCACTTTATAAAACACATTTTCGTTGGTAGGACAAATAAAAATTGCACGAAAAAAGTTACAATGTAATAAATGCGATCACTTTTGACTTTTCTTTCTCAACACCAAAACGTCATTCCATTCAAATGACATGCACCATATGGGATGACAAACAAGTATGGGCACGACAGATGACAATCAGCAAGAGGCGCGTTCGAAAATGTGGTTGTTGGTGCCAAAACCTCAATGGTGCCAAATGAGCTGTTTACTGTTTGTTTCACGAGGGGTTCTACTTTTGCCTTCCTTTTTTAAGAAATAAAAATTGACCGAAACAAATTAATTACGTCAAAAACGTTCATACGTTCTTAACCCGGGAGTACACGCGTGTCGGTCAAAAAGACCGACCAATGATAAAATTAGTAATTACGTCACTGGTACAAGGGTGGCAGTTTTGTCCATCCAGGAATACCTGATGCAGGTTTTCCACTACTCATTGGCCCAAAAATATTTTGGTTTTTGGTTGAAGTATAGTTCGTTGTTTTCATAATCGGTGCTTTTTACTAGGCGCATGAGCCTGAGTATCTAAAATATTTGTGTTCAAAATTGGCATTTTCTGATATTGGGAGTACTTTTGGCTATCGATAATACGGTAACTGTACTGCATAATATAATTCCCTTCGTAATGATTATGAATTCTAGGAATTATAGTGCTTGTACACTTTTTTCGCGGAAACGATCCCAGACGTATCCTGAACGCTAAGGCATGACTTACCTACGCAGGTAATATTTGAAAGTTTCATGTCTCTATTGATTAGTAAACCTGCGAAGGTCATGCCTTAGCGTTCAGGATACGTTTGGGATCGTCTCCGCGAAAAAAGCTGAAAATTTATATAAACTTTTGGGCAATCAGTCGTTTTGACCGAACGCGTGTAATGACGTAAGTTTTTTGGCGCGTGTAATGACGGGTTAAAACCAGAAATCATTCAATACAAAAGCCGTGTTCGTTTTTGTCTTTTTCGTCGATTTGCTCCGAAATTTTGACAGCCACGTGATTTATAAATTGAAACTCTCTGATCTAGTCACGTGCCTGTCAAAATTTCGGAGCAAGTCGACGGAAAAGATGTCAAAAAAGAACACGGCCAATACAAGATCCATTACAGAATCTGAACGCTATTGAATTTTTTTTTGGATCAACCTACGACAAACCTTTTTTTCCAAGTTATGACCGGTTACAATGACATCTACCGGTTATGACATTATCGATGTCATAAGTACAAACCTTTCTGAAATGAACCTTAGGTTGCCTGATAACTTTTATGACGTCATCTGGAATGCCTAAACATAGTGCAAATCTCCATTAAGTCCCCCTGATGACGTCATCTGTTTACCATTACCAGATAACCTACTAACTTTGGGAACCTTGGGTGCAAACAGCTAGTTTTAGTGCAGTGCGCAGTGGCTTTGAAAAATGACAATGTAGTGCTCTTTCTTTCCATAATTAAGTATTTGGGGTTTGTGCTTTGGCTTGACCCATGTGAGACTACCTTTTTACCTTTCATTCGATTTCCATGCGCTGCTACTCTGATTTGAGGCGAATTCGTTCTCCTTCCTTCTCTTTCGCCAGTCCCTAGAATCAGCTGACTGAAAAGCTGGATAGGGCGGCGCGACGGTACCGGTACAGCGCACGCGCAACTCATATCTCATACCAGTCATACCTGTAACATCGCTGCTACTTATTATTTATTGTTCCTTTTTCTGTCGCGCTTACGTAGTACGCAGCCCACGTGTGTTAAGAAGTTTACCAGTGTGTACTGTTCTGTTTATTTTGGTGTTTGGATCGACGTCTGATTGCTATACTGATGGATAAATGATATGATATAATAGTATATTATTATATAAGTGTATAAGAGGGCATTTAAAACACGACGCGTAGCGGAGTGTTTTGTAAGTCGCAAGGGCTTTAAATGCCCTCTTATACACGCATACCATACGCTATTTTTTTATTACGAATGCATCATTATCTCAAAAATGTTTTAAAAGTGTTCATTCATTTTGATAAGTAGTAATTTAAATGGCAGGTATGCAGGTAAATATCTAGGTAATGAAGGTAGATCGAACGTTTCTATAGCAAACCTTTGAAAAGGTAGACGCATCATAATAGTAGATTATACCACGAGTCAATAATGATAGCTATTATTCCCGAGGATTATTACGAACTGAGCCGCGTTAGCGGCGAGGGAGTAACATTCCGAGGGAATAATAACCATTATTGCGAGTAGTATACTCTACTTTATTTACGACAAATTAATTTATTTGAGATTTTCAATGAACAAATTTCATCCGTCTCATAATTTTCAATACAAATCTACAAGCACTACACGTTTGACACTGACACTTTTGTGGAATAATGACCATTAATCCCGCTACTCGTCATTAATCCCTGGAGGAATAACATATGTCATTATACTGCTAAAATCACAAATATAATACGCACATTATACATTAGTCGTAAATAAACATCATTTTATGCACGCTGCAGCGTGCGATAATCGTTGATTATGATGCATGCGTAATAAAAATAAATTTGTATTATGGCCATTTCGATTTGTCACTAGAAAGGGCTCTGCCTGCGGGTTCCTAGAAGCATGGAAACCGGTGGGGGTGCCCATCAGGCGTATTAAAAATAATAATTGGACATAAGATTCCTTTTGTAAAGCAGTCGCCTTTAGTCCCTCTTCTGGGCAGTAAAGCGCCAAAATTCAACACAAAAACCCTTTTCACGTGGCTCCGGTTTAACAAACCGCAACATACCGCTCAAATTCGAGTGGTAGGTATCCGATCCATCACGTCACTTTGTAATCGGGTTAGAAAACGGTATGTCATTTCTCTAACCGTTTTGTAACCCGGTTAGTTAAACCGGAGCCACGTGAAAAGAACTAAAGGGAGCAGGGCATACTGGAAAGATCAAGAGCAAACCTAGGCTTGTTACCGACCATGTTCCTAGTATGGAAGTGTTTGACCCGAAGTTTGACCGATAATAAACCTTCGGAGCCTAAACAACTATTTACTCCTTAGAAAATTCATCTGCTAGACCTCTTTCAACTTTCATATAGATACCCGTGAGAGCTCATCATCATCTAGGGCCGAATTTATAGTCGCTCCTTGAGGTTTCCTTGGACCTTAAGGAAGCCTTGAACGTTTAGAATTGACATGACTAACTTGTCAAATAGTACTAAGTGTCCATTCTGAACTCACGACCTTTAAGGCAGACTCAAGGAATGACTATAAATTCAGCCCCTAAAGTTCCTTTCCATAGTCCACTGACAGAATACTTCATTTCACGTGCCTGCCTTTCGGTTTGTCGAAAGCACCGTTGACATTTGCGAGAGTTTCGAACTGGTTGGCTTCGAAACTCAGAGATATGGGCATGATGGTTCTAGTTTATCTGGACGATTTTAGTAGGACAGGACCCTTTAAAGCTGGAGGAAGATGCTGTGCTTTTTCTGGAATCTCTGGGTTGGATTGTAAACAGGAAAAAATCCCTAACCAAACCAACACAAATGCTAGAATACTTGGGTATTGTTTGGGATTCTGCAAGGAATGTGTCATCTCTACCGGCAAAAAAGTTTGCGTCCATAAGAAAGGATTTGGATCTCGATTTGGATATGATTTTGTCTACAGAGTCTTGGAGCTGGGAGTTAGCAAAGAGGCTGTCGGGAAAGCTAAGCTATGCCTCTTTGCACGATCCTTCTAGGAAGGTTACAGTCAAGGTCACTACAGAGTACCAGAGAGCAGCAAACATCATCCTCCCGGACTTTCAGAAAAAAGGACGTTCTTGATACCCCCATTAGCTCTAGAGGAATGCTCTTGGTGGATGATAAACCTCCTGGGCCCGTATTCTCGTCACCGGGAAACAGCGTTCTCTTAAGAGAACGATTGCCCTGTCTTAGTCACTCATATTTTTATTTACATAATACCTTGCATGATACCATTGCTAATACTGATAAAGACAGAGCAATCGTTCTCTTGGGAGAACGCTGTTCCCTGGTTACGAGTCTACGAGAATACGGGCCCAGGAATCAACCGCCCTATCCTGTTTAGGGCATACGATTCTTGTGCAAGGTTTCAGTCGAGATGACTACAGAGAGCAGCAAACATCCTCCCGAACACACTCACAAAAGAAGGAGCTTCTTGATAGGTACTCAAAAGAAGTTACAAGCAAGTAGTGTCTTTTCTCAACTTAAGGTTAATCTACTCTCGGACTTCTTGTTAATATACCGATTTACTAGTCTGGGTAGATATAATTACTTCAGCAAAAAGCATGAGTGGAAGGAAGGACCGCAAAGAAATCATTTAGAAGCATCCAGAGGCAAGGTAACGAATAATCTAAAAGATACTTTCTCCTTGCCAGATGCAAACTTTCGAAGCATCTCAGATAATTTGCTTCAATATTGTCAACTACTTAAGTAAATACCCCTCTAGCTGTACATCAATGTTACTAAAGTGTGTCGACGAGTCAGCATTTATTTGGTATAAATACCGCGCCGAAATCCATTACCGGCAGACTAAGGCTAGTGCAAAATACCTCAAATGGGAAAAGCCCCTCTAGCTAAGTCTCCTCCCAGTGCAAACTTGCAAACTACCTTTAATGGGAAACGCCCTTCTGGACCTGTCTCAAACCAGATCCTTCAGGGAGTATTGAACTCAGCAGACTAGGTCCAGTGCAAGCTACCTTTATTGGGAAACGCCCTTCTGGACCTGTCTCAAACCCAGCTTCAGTCTTCAGTCACGCCAAGTGTACAGAGGGTACATAAAACAGAGTGGCCGCTATAAGTAGTCCCGCCGTAGAAGAGACGTCATGATAACCATTCCTAGGGTAATATGATTATTATTCAATATATTATCTTATTATATCTATACCAAGCGAGTTTCTCTCTACCTGAACCTGAGCGTGACCTGGGGGCGTAGGTGGTACGCCCCCAGGTCACGCTCCTATTGTGACGTCCCAGGACGAAACATATAGGGGTTGTGACAATATGTTTGTGGTAAAAGAGCATAGATCATCGAAGCAAGGCGCAAGCTATATGAGTCAAATAACAGCATTTACTGCTCAGCTGATGAAAACCCATCTCTATGACGAACAGAAATTGGAAAATCTGTTATCAAACCCATCGAAATCAACTTTGCCATTCCACAAATATATAGGAATTCATTCTTGTCTAAGCATCTGGATGAACAGAAAGGACGAAATCGCAAAGAACCCAACAAAATCTAGGTCTGAGAAACCAATGTTCAAGAAAAAGGCGAGGTCCGAATCCAACGCTAGCCGTAAATTTGAGCGTTAACGAAACTCCAGCAACAAAAAGTCAGCTGGTGGTAAGTTTTCGTCGCTCCTGAGATACCTTGTTCTCCAAACAATCAGGTTTTCCAAGGGGGTCAACTGCGTTTTCACAAAAAAAGTGGGAAGCTCTAGTCTAGGGGCCCCACAAAATTCAATAAGTACCTACCTATCATCAAAAGTTCGATTACTTTTTCAAAATCTCCGCCCCTGATTGGAGGTGGAACATCATATGGATTTGGAAACAGAACGAATGATAGAGTCAAATGTTTCAAAGACAACCAATCAGCGCTCAAAGTTCCTCTAGACTATGTTTCTGGTATCGAAATCGGCCAGTACCATTGAGGTAGCGGTACTAAACTAGTAAAGCCTCAACCAATTGCTAGACCCGAAAATGTTCCGGCTGATCAGTCGTTACAAGGTACCGAGTTTCCTCCCAAAAGACGACTTTTTGCGACAAATATGGATCCTTTCCAAGCCTATTTCCACCTTCCGATAGAGGAATCTCATCAAAGATTTTTCGAAGTAATTTACAGAAGAGAGGTCTTATGGACCTGTCTAGCAACAGCCCCTCAAATGTCACCCTGTCAAATTGAGTGCCCGGTTTCTCTGGTCGTTAGGAATGCGAGAAGTGGTTCATCTAGATAATTTTCTTCTGGCAAATCAAGACAAAGACCAACTTCAGGCACAAACAATTCAAGCTCTCCAGATTCTAAACTAGGCTGGCAAGTAAATTTAGAAAAGTCACGCATAGCCTCTCTATTACGAGTAGAGTTTTTGGGAATTCTATGGAATCCAGGTCGAAACAAAAAATGTCTTCCAGATAATGTCAAGAAAGAGATAATATTTTCTTGGTTCGTCAGTCTACGGCCTCATTATTAGACAGCCCAAACTTCGCAGCGTTCGTTGTTCCTTTGGGAAGACTTCATTGTAGATGAATACAGAAGAGCTATCGCAGCTTGTTAGAGGAATTATCAAGAAAACTGTATCCAATCTCCATGAAGGCCATGAAAGAGCTAGAATAGTGGATGAAGGATGAAGGCTATTCGTTTAAAGTCGCCGATAAAAATCAAGTAATTCTTACAACGGACGCATCCAATCTAGGTTGGGTAACTCATCTAGTTGACCAGTTCATTTCAGGGCTTTGGTCAGACCATTAAAAACATTAGCACTTAAACAGGAAGGAGTTATTTATGGCAACTTTCTGAAGGGGAATTTACTATAAAAAACCAGGGGGGCACACAATAAAAGACCTTTCTTACAGACCTAAAGAAACTTTATCGTTCAACCGAAAACCACCAAATTCACATGTCAGCCAGATACATTCCAAGCATCTACAACGGGACGTCGCTTACTAGAAAATGCTTCCCGATTGGAACTTTTTCTGGATAATTACCTACAGACGGGATTTTCAGGATATGGGGCATTCCACAAATCGATATTTTTGCAACCAGAACATCTATAGGGATTCCCAAGTATGTAACTAACTTTCGATGCAACGTATAGCAATGTGTAGTTTATGGATGCGTTCAGCTAGCTTGGGTCTTCCCTGAACATCTGAACGATGCGAAGGACCTTTATATTCTGATTGCTCTACGGTGGAAGAAAGTGTATTGGAGACTAGATTTGAAGTCTCGAGCGGTGGGCCTACGGTTTTTTACCATTCATAAACTGGAGCAACATCTGAAAGACATGAACAAAAATCTTCCCCCGACCCCCTTCGTAGGGAAAGTCACTTCATTTGGAGGCCTAGAGAGTTCGGAGTGGCTTCGACTCCTAGATGGAGAGAACATTGAAAACCTCCCAAGCTTCTGCAATCACCTTGGAGAAAGTCTACTTTGAAAACATATTTCTCCCCATGGAAAAAATTAATAAGTTGGGCGGCAAGGACAGAATCACACTCCACGATATCTGTCTTACCTGCATAGAGTGGAGAACCTCTCTTTTGGGACAATATGCGCCCACATTTGCCAATCCCACTAAGGGTTCTGAACTGTCTTCTAACCCTCTCTAGTTTACCAGATTATGAAGGCTATAAGCTTAAAACAACCTGAAAAGGAAAGGGATATATGGGATATTAGACCGGGAGTTAGAGGGATATGAGTATGCAAAATGTGAGGACCGGCAAAAATGCTCAAAATCGTATTCCTGTGATCCTAAAGAATGAGAAAGTACATCTTGCCGGCAGCTGGAGTGGTCCCTAACTCTCCTGCCATCCCCCAGTGCAAAGTTATATGGAAAATATCACAATTTCAAGTCATTTCACAATAATTTCTATTGATTGTACCTAAGGCTTTCATTTCAAGCACTCAAAATAAATTACCTACCATTTGTTGGATATTTTTGCAGTTCTGCTCAAAAATATACACAAGTAAAAGAAGACTTCGGGATGTACAGGGTCATCCAACGACGACTGAACATAGGCTTATTTTTGACCTTCCCTGTTCCTGTAGTTTTGAAAAAATTCAAAATAGCCAATTGGCATATTTTTTTCTGGAAAATTCAAAAATGGTACAAAAAAATCATTTGAACCAATAACCAAAGATTTACGCCATGGGTGAACTGTTTTCCAAATGAAACACCCTGTTTTTGTACGATTCTTGGAAAAGTCGCATTTTTTACTTCTATTCTGTTGAAAACATTCGATATTCCGCTGTTTTTATTTTATTTTAACGTTTTATGCTTAATAGGTTTAGCGTTTCCTTTTCAATTTGATAGGTTCATAGGTGGTATAATCACTTTTTGTTCAAAGTCAAAAGAAATTTGACATATTTTATCACCATCACCATAGAATAAGCCATCACAGATGTATTGAACAGGTGAAGTTAAAATCATTAAGGAAAAAACATTAAAATAAAAGAAAAATAGGCATCGGAATCGGAAGCCTTAGGCAAAATCAATAGGAATTATTGTTAAATGACTTCAAATTGTGATATTTTCCATATAACTTTGCATTGGGGGATAGCAGGAGAGTTAGGGACCACTCCAGCTGCCGGCAAGATGTACTTTCCCATTCTTTAGGATCACAGGAATACGAATTTGAGCATTTTTGCCGGTCCTCACATTTTGCATACTCAACTACTTGTAGCGCCTGCTCTAATATAGAAATTTTGGTTTCTCCGAGGAATAACTCAATTTTCCAGGACTGTCCAGGAGGTATGATGGAAGTTGAATATGACTGAGACTTGCAAACTTACTGAGTCAAAACAGCTAATCTTCATTTAAATTTTTAGATAAAAGTGATATGCATTAAGTCTAATACATTGTAGGAATCCAGACCTGTTGAGATTCATAATTCAAATCTTTCAAAGATACAAAGAAGGAGAATTTGAGCTACAATTACTTATTCTTTAATGGTAAACAAAAATAAGGTTTAAAAAAAAAACACTACCAAAACAAAGTCAACTTTTTATTAATTTATATAACAATTGGGCAATAACTTATAACCAAATAGTCTACTCCTAACTTCTTGAATGATAATCAAATAAATGCTGAAATGAACACCCAGAGCTGCATTATCTAAGAAAACAAACCATAATATTCTACCTACCGAGTGTTCCAAAAAAATAATAAAACTGCTGTATCAATAATCCATTTAATAAAAGAACACCCTGTAAATTATAACAAGAAAATGATTCGTTTTTTAATACAGGGTGCATCACATCACATATATACGTGTGCAAATGTTGTCTTAAATATAAAAATAGATAAAAATTCAATTATAGAAGTGCCGTAATACCTTATACAAAAAAATATATCGTATAAAAATTCTTAATCTTAAATTAGTAATACTTTAAAGCTTAAAGGAACAATTATGCGTTCTTGCAATTCATATAGATGCTCCCTGTATGTGAAATTATTCAAAGGAAAATTAGGCTGTAGTTTTATAAAAAATAAATGCGAAGCTACAGCCAAAATAAATTATGAATATTAGAGCACAACCGCAACAACTTTTCTAACAAAATAATTATAAAAGTGATTTTTTTGAAAATTAATACTTATAACAACTAATACATTATATACAGTGCGTTGCCAACAAAAAATTGGGCTTTTTGAGTATTGCTAGCTCGTTTAAAAAATTCTAAATAAGCAACAATAATTCAATTTTTGTCTTTTTTTCTCAAGTTAGCTAGCGATACACGTAGTGTCATATTAATTTATTAAGTAGGTACATATATTTTCTTTTTAAAATTATCTATCTTTATTGCTCTCTTTTCCGCGCACTCAATATTGCATCTACATAACTCTTTTAGCATTAAATTCCTTTTCAACATGACATAGGGTCAAATAATGGGCTTATACCAAGGGCAAGCTGCACTAAATAAAAAAATATACGTTTTTTTTTTCAAGGGGTGTTTTTGAAATGTTGTTGGAAAATAGACCCCGGGCATGCCAATTACTTATTTTATACAGAAGAGTACAAGGATTGTTTTAAAATTGACGTGTTTCCATAGGACCAGCGAATCAGTCCGTGGCCTAAGTTGATTTATCTGGAAATAAAAGAAAATTATGTTAATTATTATTGTTGTCTACGTGTGGAAATTAGTGGCAATTTGATAAATAAGCGGAATCACACTTGGAAGAGACAAAAAACACCATCAAGCGTCTAAGACTTGTGATTAGAAAGAACCAGATTAGACGATTTTCTCTCAAGAACCACCACCATCATCCCTAAGTAAATCTTAAATCGTATAACGACTACTACAACTGAAATCCAGTTCTTATTTTGCATTGTCCATTGCTTCTTCAATCTTCCTCTCCCTCTCTCTTGAAAACTACTGGCTGAAACCTTATTATTTCAAGGAAACATATTGAATATTTAGATTTACATTGAAGAAAAACTAGTTACATGGATTGAAAATCCCTTACCAATGAATGCTACGAAGACGAATGCGTCCGTTCATTCTTATTAAATTGGCAAGACACTTGAGGAGTCGTCGATATAGTGTCCAAAGTGCCTAGTACCGAAAGCAGATGAGTTTCTTCGGTGGGTGAAAAGTCTACACTATCTATGGGAGGAGGTGGGGGGCAAATATACAACGGTACCTGAAAATATTAAACGGTAACTCACTAAGCACGCTAAAAGTGAAACCCATTGACCTGATTGATTTGTGCAGAATCTCCGGGCTTATTTATAATATCGTCCAATCTTAAAAGCTGCGACTTGAAACTCCTAGTCCTGTCCAATTCTTGTTGATATGCTGACGATTGCATTTTTGAGCGTTTGTTGTGCAATTTGTTGGGTTGCGCAAGCGGCGAGAAATTCGAACGGTCGAATATTCCAGATCCGTTGTCCGAAAGCAACCGCTCACTTTCCGGATCTTCTTTATTACGGCCGTTACCACAACTATCGGCTTTTTTCAATATCGACCGTGATCGTTTCGGTTCCATTTGAGGTGTCGCTGTATCTCTACTATCTGTTGAGTCTACGGATAAGGACGACTTACTCGTACTATTTTTTCCTGGAATATCAAAAAATATTATTGGAGCTTCAGTAGGTATTCAAAATTTGAGAATACCTTGATTGTCACCGAACAAATGATGATTTAATATCCTTGCAGCCGACGCAAGCCCTTTGCCTTGCATAAAGGGTTGCTTGGACCTCTTTTCCAAGCTATCCTGAGAGCTACGCTGTTGCGATTCTCCTGACCGCGATTGGGGCCTCGGTAACTGGAAAAGGAAACCTGCTTCTCTAGCTGAAGATTTACGTAACTGAAATAAAGATAAAGATATTTTCTTATCAGCATTCGTTGGAACTAGCAAAGTAGATCAATTAACGAATAACTTTACACTACTTAGCTATTATGATAGGTATACATTCAGTAACGCCTCAACTCAAAAACAGTTTTCCACCGATATAATGCTAAGGAAACTGAACAGTGAAAACAACTGGGCCTTCAAATTAGTTGAGAAATCCATTAAAATGGCGAGGATTAGAAATGCGAGTAGTCTAGATGAAATTCCGGCGGAAGTTGCGATACTTTTTGGAAGAAAGCAATTAGATTATTTAGGAATTTGTGGGGAAATGGGAGGAATTTGTGTGGAATTTTAAGGAATTTATGTGAAATTGGATGAATGTATGAGAAATTGGGAGAATTTATTGGTTTTAACACTGAGCGTAATAGAATTAGTTCCAGCAGGGAATTTGTAACAGGCATTCACAGGGAAATTGCGAGCAGTTTGGAGGAATTTTTGGGAAGTTTGAGGAATTTTTGGGAAGTTTGAGGAATTGTTTGCACAAATTCAGGGGGATGGTTTACTTTCATAGACCTTGTTCACCTTGGTAAAAATTGAAGTGAAAAAACCTCGAAAAAATTTTGAAGCTTGAACAGCTAAAAATCATCCAAGCTGCATTGAAATTATTCACTAAGGGTTTGTAGGGGATTTAATTGGCTCTATTTCTAGCCTAATTACGTCAAGATCGGTTTGAAATTAACAAAGTTGTTAGGTAAAGTGTTGAACCACACTTTGGGCTTTACAGCTACGAAACTATTGAAGCTGCATTGAAAATAGTTAGTAGAGATTTGTGAAGAATTTAATTGGCCTTATTTCAAGCATAATTACGTTAAGATCGGATTGAAATTAACAAAGATGTGAAGTGAAATGTGGTTCAATGTCATTTTTGAAAAGAATCAAGCTTCCAAAAAACGACATTGAAGGACGGAACCACCTAGGAATTCTTCGCTAAAACTGGAATTTGTGGGGAATTTGGAGGTATTTGTGGGGAATTTGAAGAAGTTTACGGGAAATTGGAGGAATGCATGGAAATTGGGGGGAATTTATTGGTTTCAACACTTAGCGTAATAAAAATAGAAAAATACCTACATTTCTTATCACGAACAACTTTGGGGATTTTTAGGGAATTGGTAACAGACATGATTTGCAGGGAATTTGGAGGAATTTGCGTGAAGTTTGTGGAATTGTTTGTACAAATGAATTCGGGAAGGTGGTTTACCCCTCGAGATTATAAGCTCCTACTATTGAAAACGCTGCTTCAATTGAATATGGAACACCCGCCGCCGCCGCCGTTCTGAATAATCAAGCTCTACAGCCCAAGCAGATGAAACAAAAAATATTGGTATCTCGAAATTTTGCGCAAGTCAAATTGTTTACACGAGAACTTCAACCCGAATCAGCCATTGAAGCGAATCTATACACGAAAATATAAGGAAATAATTTAGCCGTATGTGAATAAGGTAGGATTAGGTAACAGCAATTACCTATTGAGAAAATATTCAAATATGGGAAAAATATCGAATACATTCACTGGAACAAAGCTGCAGAGTTGGTGGAAAGACTCGGGCTTCTCTGGAGTTCTAGACTAGCCGTGCATACGGGTCTAGATAATGAAATTTTGTCTATAATCGAGGAATTGAGAGAAGAAAAGAATATTTATTGAAGTGCAGCATCGCTGATTGGTATTAAAGTCGATCGTCAACTATTTTACTCTAGTAAACAACAAAATTTCTCACGATGAACCAAGGGCGTAGATATGGGGGGGGGGTAGAGGGGGTAATTACCCCCCCCCCCAGATCTCTAATATTTTATTAGATGAAAAATATTGGGGCTTCCGGGTTATTCTTGGGTAATTCTGTTCTAGTTTTTTTCCTCAACTTTGCAAGGCTCTCTTTCCACCAGGGCACTTTCCTGGTGGATGTCCCTGTTGTTAGTGGGCAATTTTCATTGAAGGCTGAGATGATTGCATTATTGATTTGATCAACAACCATCCCCAAGTCTTCAGTGTCTCTTATTGTCTTCCTGATGTTCGGCAGAAGGTACTCCAGGTCAGCTTTATATGCGTCCCCGTATGTATTTCCAGGATTCCGATAATTTACTGAAGTTGTTTCCCCTGAAATTTCAAAATTTATGTATATGTTACGGTACATATGCAAACTTGGCTAGTTTGTAAACTAGCTATATAGTTTACAAACTAACCAACCCCTTGGCTATTTTGATAGAAATTGCAATTTTTACTAAAATAGCAGCTAGTTTGCAAACTAACTAAAAGTCTTGGCTAATTTACTTGAAATTATTGAGAAAACTAAAATAGCGGGTTTGTTTGTAAACTATCCAATGCAGTTTGGATAATATGGAAACCATATTTTCTAGTAACACAAACCTTTGGCTAGTTTGTAAACTAACCAACCAATTTTCTGGCTAATTTACAATTAAAGTTCAATGTTCATGGTATTTCTTATTCGATAAATTAGAGATGAATAAAATTAACATTTTTGCTTTTTTCTTTTTTACCTGGCAATTCTCACATCCATCGAGGAACAAAATTACAATTTCTTGGGTAATATTTGAATATTTTTCATTTATTAGCTTTGTTGTAACTTGTGTTTTGCCGTGCCCAGTTGATTGGTAAGATTCTTTAATAATATCAAACAAATCATCCAGACAAGCTAATATTTTGCCAGATTTCCTTCGTTGTGGAATTGGAAATTATTTGCTTTATTATTATACAGATCTATCAATGGAGCCAGGGCCGTAGCGATATGACTATCCCTAGGGGGGGAGACTGAGATCCGGCCATCCGGCGCCCTCTAAGCGCCCCGAAGAGGCAATCCAAAGGTGAAGAAAAATTTATTGGTGACCACACCCAAATTTTGCCAATTTTAAGTAAATATGGGTATAGGATTTTCACGCTATATTTAGGATGACGTCACATTTAGTGAATTTCTGCTGCAAATCTGACAAAACTAAAAGTACTTCTTAACGCATTTGAAGTAGGGGAATTAGGGGAATTTCAGATGTTTCTGGTTGACAACGGCGCGCTATTTTGCATGATTTAAATAAACATTTTCAAATAAATAACGCATGTCGATTCATTTCGTTATTTTTAGCTGTTAGTGGTCTTGACAATAATTCACTATGACATTCTGGTAAATTATAAGAAAACAAATAGGCATTGACAACATTGTCAGTCCTTGTTCTCTGACGTCATCCTAAATATAACGTAAAAAACCTTTATAATTTCATTCAATGAAGGCAATTTTTCGTGAGGATAACCAAGCACAATCTTTTGCTGGATTATGTGATGTGTCATTTGTGTCATACTGCCCTAACTCCCCCACCATCAAATTCTGGGATACTCGAGGATCAAGAACACTTAATTTCTTCTGTGAGAACAAACCAAAAATCACCTTTTCTACATTTGAAATTGACGAAAAAAACTAGCACAGCCTGAATCGCAAGCATTCTTTCGGGGTCTGCGGGTGACGTCATCATTATAAGCTGCTGGTAGTGACGTCACTCGCAGGCTAAGATTTTGATGGAGAGGGAGTTAGGGGTCATTGGTTAGGGGAGTATGAGACAATTGACACATCACCATTATCCAGCATACTCGAGTATGCTTGATTATCCTCGCGAAATATTGCCTAATATTCGCCCTAAAAACCTAACTTTATGTATTGAATGAGACTTTATCTAATAATGCCAATTCGATTTCCTGATTTTCTCAGTTTCAGGTGAAAATAATGAAGTGTATATTGTAGATTTTCTGATTTTCAAAATAAAAACACCAAACTTTTTGAATGTTTATTTTGATTCAATTTCTTTGTTTTTTGAACTTTGCCTATTTTGGCGCCCTTTTGCCAGCTGCGCCCTGGGGGGGAGGCTACCCCGTCTCCCCCCCTGTTGGCTACGCCCCTGAATGGAGCGTCGAATTCTTTAACTTAACTTTGTTTGCAAATTAGCCAGAGAATTGGTTTACAAACTAGCCAAAGGTTTGGCTATTTTGTGTTACTAGAAAATATGGTTTTCATATTAGCCAAACTGCATTGGATAGTTTATAAACTAACCAGCTATTTTAGTTTTCTCAATAATTTCAAGTAAATTAGCCAAGACTCATGGTTAGTTTCCAAACTAGCTGCTATTTTAGTGAAAATTGTGTTTTCTATCAAAATAGCCAGTGAGTTGGTTAGTTTGTAAACTATCCAGCTAGTTTACAAACTAGCCAAGTTTGCATATTAACCATAACATATATACTAATCCTTTTTGTTATTTTCATTGCGACACTCAATATATCAACAAGAAGATTTGAGAGCCTACTAACAGAAATTTAAGCCAGAGAATATTTTTTAGGAGAAAGCTGGCAGAATTGTGAATATAGTCGCTCCAAGTAAAATGTATCTTAAATTTATTGTTAGAAAATTGTATTATCTATTACTGTATTCTGTTAGTAAAAGCCGTGCTGCCCCAATTTTACACTAACATTGAATCAGTTAAAGTATAATGCATTCCCAGAAGAACATGAATTTAGCCATTTACACTATTCTGTTGTTTTTTTTTCTTCGATCTGCGTTCGGCTTATATACAGTTGTTCTGAGCTCACTCTGCCTATGACGTCACGATATCCATGCTCATACCGTTTCGCTCCGCAGAGTGCAAAGCAGCAAAGATTTTTAGTGATGTGTCATCTGTGAATTGTCAAAAAAATTGATGACTGATAACAGAAAACTAAAAGTTTAACTTCAGGATTTTCATAGTAATTTCAGAAGTTAATTTCTAGTTTTCTGCCAATACAGTTTTATAATACCCATCTTAAAACTAACATTATTAATAAAAAAAAGTATGTACCATCGTCACAAAAATAATTCATATTAACAAAAATAATTCATATTAATCTCCGTTAACAAACGTAAAACTATTCATAGTTTGACAAATACCTGATATCTAAAATCATATAGTAGTACAAGAGCTAATATGATGCTGTCCCAGTTACTTTTGGTAACGATGGTACCTATTTAAATAATAGTACTACTAAGGTCAAGTTCTGGAAAAGTAAATGAGCTTGACATTTTTCTCCGAACCCTTCCCCCCCTCCTCGCCCCTCTAATTTTACCCCCTCCCCCCAGAAATGTAAAGTATCTACGCCCTTGCGATGAACAACAACTCTACAATCGATAAATTCAGCCGTAGTCGCCGACCAGATAAAGCCAATGTACAACAAATAACTCGGGGTAGACCAGGTATAGGTGTTAGGCTAACGTCAAGATGACTAATACGATATGGAAGTCTTTGAGAAATATAGCCGAACCTAAATTCAATGGCGATGCTGTTTCAAAACAATACTTGGACCTTTTAAATTACAATGCAGAAGTTCGGGTTTTCGACATGGAAAAATCTATGGAGCAAGCAGTTACAGAGCAGTATGTCGACGTACTAAACTACAAAACCGAGCAGCGAGTTTATGAATTAGAAAAATTATTTGCTGATTTGAAAAATAATGAAATTAAAGTTACATCTGAGGGAGAAGGATACGACTTGGATGGCAAGTATTTAACTAATATTTTAAACCCGCGAAAAAGTAACGACGCCGTCACGAAGCAGTATGCAAATCAAAAATTTCCAGAGTTACAGGACCAGCTAAATTATACAATCCATAATGAACTGGGAAAATTACACAAAGCGTTCTACGAAAAAGTAGACAAAGAAGTGACGGAGCTACGACGAGCCGCATATTCTAGAGCTGTAATTGACGAAACAAATACGGGATTAAGAACTCTAATATTACCGACTAGAAATACTCACTTCGTAATAAGTCTTTGTTCAGGTCGTTCGCTGACGTAGTAAAGGACAAAAAAAAAAACTGCTAAACATTATAATGATATCTGAGGAAAAGAAACAAATTGTGCATGAACTTCACAAGCCTGCACCGAAAAACTTTAAGAGGAGACCAACAATTATTAAAGGTTTCCGGGATCTGTTCCAAATGGACCTGGCTGAGATGCAGACTTATGCACAATAAAACAAAGGTTATCGCTACATTCTTGTAGTGGTAATTAACTGTTATTCGAAATAGGTTTGGACTAAGCCACTGAAGAACAAGTCAGGACTAGAAGTTAGCAAAGCTATGAAATCTGTTCTAACAGACGCAGGATATTCACCTAAAAACCTACAATCTGATCATGGAACTGAGATGTGCAATAGCCATTTTAAAAAATTGATGAGGGAATATGGTATAAACCACTATTCTACGTACAGTACCAAGAAAGCAGCTATCGTTGAGAGGGTAATCAGAACTCTGAAATCGAGGATTTACAAAGACTTTTCGTTATTGGGCAAGCATGAGTGGGTATCAGTATTAGACACAGTGACGAAAAACTACAACGATACCAAGCATAGGTGTACTATTTCCATATATCACACATTAAAAAGTAAATTCCAGAATTGAAAAGAATTTTGGCAGAGATGTAAGCTGTGACGCCTTAATATACTTTCAGAAGACGTTTTATTTAGTGTACAGCATGACAAGACAAGATAAGTAAATTGTTACAGATTTATGCTCAAACTTATTCAAATCTGATTGTATTCTAAACATATCAGTGTTATATTTTGTTATGTATTAAGGTCGATAAAATCTAAACAGTACGAGCAATCTCTACAATCAAGATTCTAGCTGTATGTATGTACCATCATAAATTCATCACTTCCATATAAATTTCTTGGCAAGCGAATATAATAGGCACGGATACGATAGATAAGAATACTTTGAAACCCACGCCACGTCATAAAACCTCATTCGATGGATTTCTTATTGCGGTCAAAAATCCACACATCCGACCAAATCCCCTGGAAAATTTTGCCAATTTTTTTTTCCTCTCTATTTATCGATATTGGAAGTTGCATTTTATCTTTCGGCCAAAGTTTCCCGATCAGCTTCAACGATAAATTTCACTCAATCCGGCTGGCCGCCATCCAAAATTTGTTTTTGTCATTGGAGAAAATAAGTAATGGAAATAACTTTCCAAAATTCTTACCTGGAATCTCGTTTTCGGTTTTCTAGGCCCAGGCGAACCATCTAAACTAGTCCTACTGCCCCTGTCCATGCTTTGGAACGCAACTTTTTCATCGACTGGCGTGGAACCCAAACTCCTCAAGGCAGTATCTCCACTTGCCGATTTTTTAACGGCAGGCATTCGTTGGTTTTGTGAAAGTATTGGCGGACTGTTAGATTTGTCCATTGGATTAATGTATAAGTTGCTACTGTCCAAAGCCAAAAGTGTGGAGTCTAGAATATCGGCAGTTAGATCCGCTTGGGAGTTGTTTGGGAACGTGGTACATGTGGCAAAAGTGTCCGAGCTATCCATACTGGCAAGATCTCCTCCGTTGGTTCGGGTAGGTACCATCGGTACGTTTTCGTCGGCGTAAGTTTCCAGGAAAAAATTACTGGACCTTTCCAGCATGGCTTCAGCTTCTAGAGCTCTCATTTCCATACAAATTGGTTGCCGGAAATCGCTTGTGGGGAATGGCATTAGGCTTTCAGCATCAACAAAGTTTTTATATTCCTGTGGATAATTATTAAAAATTATGTTTCTGAATTAATTAAGAGCTTAAAGGTACCTTATTTGTGCAAAAGCAGCATTCAAATTCACTTGGTATCTGCATTTCTTCAGGCTTATCAGGCTGTTTTTTTGAATCCTTACTACCAATCTGAAATACATTAGATATTAAAGGCTCCAATTAAGTTTACACACTTACAGATGGTGATATGTAGCCCATTGGTGAGCTGGGCAAGAGCAACGTTTCGTCTTGTGCTAAAGGCGCCATCGTCAATCGTTCTTCTTCGATCGAATTCGAGGCACTAAAGTCCAACAGTTGCCGTTTGTGTGAACTGGGCGAACATGGCGGAGGAGGACCCTAATTTCGAACATAATCGTAATTTCAAATTAACGCTAAGTTTTGTAAGAAAAGATGACGTGGCTGGTCATTAGGATTTTAAAGTTCGGAAAGTGTTCTTGTAAATTTCCAATAAGGCGCCGGAAAGTTTTGCCCGACAAGATTAACGTTGATGGAAGACGTTTATCTTAACTTTCGAAACGAAAACTTTTATCTTCGACGATTTTTTGATGTAGATATTTTTTATGCATAGTTGCAGCGCAGCGTTTATCGAATCAGAAAAATAATAAACATCTGAGTTTTTAAACACGGGTGTGTCATTTTCAAACTTTGATAGAAATTGTGGAAGTTTTTGGGAAGCACTTCTTAATGTATTTTAGGCATAATTCAAACTCTTCGAAAGTCGATTTTCTACATTAATCATGCCTATTTATTTAGGTACCTAATGAGGAAGTAAACAATTTGTATTCCATGCACAATTCAATTTATTGAAACTTAGCGTAGGAACTTAGTAGAGCGCATTCGGCTTTCGCCATCATCAAGCTCCGACACAGAAGTTAAAATTGTAAAACGACAATGACGTCAAGGATAAAAAACATTACGACACGAGAGAATTACAGATTTGTATATGATGAACAGGTACAAACAATTAAAAACTTATTTAGAACAATCTAAAAATTCCTGATAGTCGTCGATGTCTTTTTACAATTTCCATTTGTGTCAGAACCTGACAAGTAGTACTGTTAAAGAGAATGGTATATTTGAAAAAAATTGATGATGATTGGAGAGATTTTTTGATACATACGCAGAAATTAACTTTGACAATACAACAACACCTTCACAGTTGTGGTTTTGCGGTCCGAGAGTAATCAAATCACTCTGGTTCCTGGAAAAGTGGTTATTTTTGGACCTCGGTTTCCTGAAATCAGGTTAACCAAATGTCAAAATAGTTACCGGCCATCGGATAATCGGATGTCAGTTCTGTTAGTTTTATCTGTAATTTCTGTCAATTATTTTTTATTTCCTATTTGCGTTCCCCAAGTAGCCGGAATTTTCAGTAAGCATTTGTCAACCGATTCGGTTATTTTAGTTAACGTTTGGTTATATTCGGACCATAGCCTTATAAGTACGTATTTGATATTTTCTGTTCATTTTCCTAACATTATCTGTCCCGTGTTGACTTTTATTTGTCAACACGATTCAATCTATATTTTTCATGCAGGTCGTTTGTATATTCCCTGTGGTGATGTCTTTACTTCTACAACTCGTACTATTTTATCTGGGCCAGTGAATGTTTTAACAAGTAATCCCAAAGGCCATACGCCCTTTCGACGTCATTTATTATCACAACATCACCTTCTTCTAGGTTTTTATCATCTTTTTGCCATTTTGTTGCACTAATTAGAGTAGGTAGATATTCCCGCAACCATCTTTTCTAAAATAAATCAGCTAAATCTGGGATACTCGCCATTGTTTTCTCAGCAAACAATCTCTTTCTTGAAACACTCCAGGTATATAACTATTTGACAATTGTTTCCCAATAAAATATCATTCGGAGTTATAGCCAAATCATCATTAAGTATACATTATTTGATACATATGAATCAACAGTGCCAGCCCGAGCCTACTTTCAGGATGGAGCGAGATCCGACTTTGGCGCCCCTAATTCAAATGTGAATCTTCTGCATATGGATTTTGACCATTGTAATACCTAGATGTCTCTAACTTATCTTATCAATTGAAATTTGAAAACATCCATGTTCATTGGTATAGATAAAACATAAAACCAACTAAGAAGAAGCCACTGCGTGATCTTTTGTCTCACGTCAAATGGGAGGGCCTCTAAATTTGCCTTCTTCGTCAGTGATGACGTCAGGGGCTCTTCTTAGTTGGTTCTAACTATACCGTCTATACCTACACTCTTTTCCTTTTAAGAGTTGATTTAAAGTAGACACACAAATAATGGAAATTTCTACGGTACACTTATCAACACTCAGGCCCGATTTATTGATCTTCACATAAACTTGCTCTTATAACTATCTGCAAGATAGATTTATCGACCTATAATCTATTGGTCGGCAAATAACTAGCTGACTAATGGAATTGCAGATAGAGTTTTTGTCCGTCAGATTGCATTAGGTACCTGACAGCATAGGCGCCGGAACCATGAACTCCCTTCTGACATAACTACAATAGAAGAGCTAGAGGCATCATCTGACAATCTAACAAATGCGATAAAAGATTCCTATGAGAACAGTTGTCCCGTAAAACAGAAGGCAGTCCACAGGGATGTGCCTTGGTGGAACGGGCAGCTGAGACGTCTGAAACAAGATGCCAGAAAACTGTTCAACAAGGCAAAAACTAACGGCAACTGGGCAGACTATAGAACAGCCCTAGACAAGAACAACCGTGAATTAAGAAAATCAAAAAGGAAATCATGGAGACAATTCTGCGAGGGGATTGACGAATTAGCCCCAGCTCAACGTCTCCAAAAAGTTCTTTCAAAAAACCACTCAAACGGAATTGGTCTGCTTAAAAAGCCAAACGGAGAACACTGTACCGACCATACAGAAAGTCTAGAGGTACTACTACAAACTCACTTTCCAGGTTCGGTAATCGTTGAAGCCCTGAACCAGGTCACTCCGCCTATCGACGGGCCACAAAGCCCTAACGGCAGGAGCAAAAGGCTGGCTGGGAAAATCTTCACAATGAACAGAATAAAATGGGCGATCGATAGCTTCAGACCATACAAGTCTCCAGGCAAAGACGGGATTTTTCCCGCACAACTGCAAAAAGGCTACGAGCACTTAAAGGTACACCTACAAAAGCTCTTTAAGGCAAGCCTGCTCCTAGAGCACATACCGCTATCTTGGAGGGAAGCTAATGTGATATTCATACCAAAAACGGGTCGCCGACCCGAGGACGAACCAAAATCATATCGTCCCATTAGTCTAACCTCCTTTCTCCTTAAGACAATGGAGAAAGCAATCGACCAGTACATCAGAAGCGAAACTCTATTGAGAAGACCGCTCTACTCGAAGCAATTTGCCTATCAGCCAGGCAAATCCACGATAAGTGCTTTACACTGCCTGGTTAAAGACATTGAAAAGACAATCGAGTACAAAGAGATCGCTCTCACAGCTTTCATCGACATAGAGGGTGCCTTTGATAACACCTCACATCAATCAATCGCCAGAGCATTACAAGAATGGGATGTTGAAGTTCCAATTGTAAAATGGATAGAGTCGATGCTGAAGCACCGTCACGTTACGGCAGAAATAAACGGAGCATCAGCTACCGCTACCACGGTCAGAGGGTGTCCTCAAGGGGGTGTTCTTTCTCCGCTACTATGGACACTGGTGGTAGACAAAATTCTTACCAGACTGAGTAGTGCTGAATACCAGGTCATAGGTTACGCAGATGACCTAGCCATCGTAATCAAGGGCAAACATGAAGGTATAGTGACAAGCCGAATGCAAAGTGCCCTAAACATCGTTAAAAATTGGAGCGAAGGCGAAGGACTATCCCTAAACGCAAACAAAACAATCCTTGTCCCGTTCACAAGAAGAAGGAAGCTAAATTTGAAAGCCCCGACCCTTAACGGTACACAACTAACATTTTCCAACGAAGTGAAGTACTTAGGGGTCACCCTGGACCAAACCCTCACTTGGAACAAACAGTTAGAGAAAACATGCTCTCGAGCTACATCAGCCATTTGGTCATGCCGAAGACTTGTTGGCAAAACATGGGGGCTAAAGCCAAAGATGGTATTCTGGATCTACCAAACCATAATAAAGCCTATGGTCACATACGCCTCATTGGTGTGGTGGCCCAAAACCCAACAAGTCACCGCTCAGATTAAGCTAAGAAAGGTGCAAAGGCTGCTATGTCTAGGAATAACGGGAGCAATGTCAACTTGCCCCACCGCATCCCTAGAGACGCTACTCAACATGCCCCCACTTCACCTATGTGTGAAAAAGGAGGCAATAACCAGCGCTCACAGGCTATTCCAAATAGACAAGTTCAAGCCTGGCGACCTGAGGGGACATCTGAAAATCGTTGATCTAATAACACTGGAGAATGCCAGCAAACCAAGTGACCACATGATGGTCAGATTGGACTTAGAGATCCCCTTCGCAGTGGCAATAAACGACCGCCAATCATGGGAGAATAAAGAACTACCACAAGCAGACAATGCATCTCTGTGGTACACAGATGGATCCAAGCTAATGGTAGGAGCTGGACTGGGCATTTCCGGCCCTAACTTCAAGCTCTCCAAGGCATTGGGTAAACATCTTACAATATTTCAAGCCGAACTGCTTGCCATAGATATATGTGCACAAGAGTGTCTTAACCAAAGCCTCAAAAGAAAACACATCTTCATACTATCGGACAGCCAAGCTGCCTTAAAAGCCTTGAGGGCTTTCAAATGTACGTCAAAACTAGTCTGGGAGTGTAAACAGACCCTAAACATACTAGCGACACATAACCAGGTAACGCTGATGTGGCTGCCTGGTCATCGAGGCATAGAAGGAAACGAAGAGGCAGATGGCCTCGCAAAGGAAGGGGCCTCAACAACATACCATGGACCAGAGCCCTACTGTGGCTTAATGAAAAGCCACATCATGGAAGAACTCAACAAATGGGAGAAAGACCAACTGTCATCATATTGGAGGCACACACCGGGACTCAGACAGTCAAAAAGGTTTATTACCCTTTCAGCAAAAAGAGCTGAACAGCTCCTAAGCATGAGCAGACCAGACATCAGATTGGTGATGGGACTGCTCACAGGACACTGCCCAGTAAAATACCATTTAAGGTTAATGGACAGAGCAGAAGACGATCTCTGCAGATTCTGCTCAGACGCAATAGAAACCGCAGAGCACCTGCTCTGCGAATGTCCAGCCCAATTCTGCAAGAGGCTCAAATTCCTCGAGGGGGCAACACTGTCACCAGAAGAAGTGGGCCAACTGACACCCAGGAAAATAGCTTCCTTCGGCAGAAGTCTACGCTTCCTGGAG